AAACCATTCTATGATTCTATGATCTTTTCCAGCCCAAACAAGCTGAAAAATAGCTTTGAGGAGACCAACTCAGACAAATCACAAACAGAAACCCCATGGCATTTTCTTTGCTTTTTGCTTTACCTGTTGTTTGGTTTTGATCAGTATGTTAAAGGCAATCTGTCTCATTTACTTAATGTGCAGAATAATTACATGAGGGTTTAGAGGTTTTTCTGCCTCACATTTTGCAGGTTGAAAGCAAGTGGCATCCAGATGTACACCAGAAAAGTTGCAGACTTGTGGGAGCTGCACCGTGAATATCATGTTGTTGTCAACTGTGCAGGCATTGGAGCCCACCAGCTGGTGGGGGATGAGAAGCTCTTCCCTGTCAGGGGACAAGTACTCAAGGTTCATGCTCCTTGGGTGAAAAACTTCATCCGGGATGGGGATGGCTTAACTTACATCTACCCAGGGATACACAGGGTGACCCTAGGGGGAACCAGGGAAAAGGAGAACTGGAGTCTCACCCCTGATCCCAGCACTACTAAAGACATCTTTGACAGATGCTGCTCCTTTGAGCCCTCACTGCAGGGAGCTCAGGATATCAAGGTGAAGGTGGGCCTGAGGCCATCCAGGCAGTGCGTGAGACTGCAGAGAGAGGTCTGGAGCCAAGGAGGAGTTAAGCTCCCGGTGGTCCACAACTATGGGCATGGGGCAGGTGGCTTTTCAGTGCACAGAGGCACAGCCAAAGAGGCTGCTCGCCTGGTGGGAGAGTGCATTGTTGCCCTGCAAGGCTCCTCATCGAAGGCCAAGCTTTGAATCCCAGAGGCTCCTTTTCCATTTACTACAAGCTAGTGTTGTATCTCCTCGTAGCAGCTTTGCACTTTTATTCCATTACTGGATAGAAGGAGCCTAAAACAACAGCTTGTGCCATTGCAGATGCTCGGTGGCATCTCATCTGGCTTCCAGCTGCCACCTTGGAAAGGCATGATGGTTGATCCAAGCATTAGTCCAGCTGTCCTCCTCTTCCATCTGGCATTGTTTCTTCCCTGGGCATCTCTCCTAGCTTCATGTTAAGGAAAAGGCAAGATATGTAAATATCCTTCACATATCAGGGATCAGAATGCTGCACTACAGTATCAATAACATCAATTTAGCATTTCTTCATCTGCATCTAAAGGGTAGCAGATGCACTAGGTTCAGATTCAGTAAAAACTAGGTCTCTCCTTTTGTACCAAATCTAATCTAGTATTGCCCTTGCTCCTGCCATCTTGCTAACAAACTTTACCATTTTCCACATGATTTACAAGAAAAAGAAAACCCTGTGCAGTGCTGCACTACAGTGCTCCAGGTCAGCTTTTATAGAGAGCAATGTCAGGTCACTGTCATGCACAGTGACCAGGCAAGAGTGATTTTAAGAGCAGGTCTGTGGCGCTGATCACTGAATTTGATCATATTATACCTCAGGGAACTTAACACAAAGTTTCT